ATTTTTTTTTAAAAAAGGCGCCCACCTAAATGTTGTTAAAGGGACCATGAAATGATTTTAAAATCGAATTTCATCCACCGCATGTCGTAAAAGGTGTGAAAAGAAACACAAAAACACAAAACTAGGGAGCCAAAAAAAATTATTTGCTATAGAACTTTTAAAAGAAAACTGGACTCTTTTGCGCCTTCCTTCCTTCGCCTGTTCACTACGATGCATCCGCGGAAATGGAGCACGTCAGCCAAATCCAGGTCGCCTATTGGGTAAGAGCCTACCTCACCAGCACCGCGATCGTAAACAATAAATAGCCGGCGAATGTTTCCTAAAAGTTTTGTTAAATAATATTCAGATCCACATTTTGTAGCATAATTAGAGATGTGTGGCGAAAATTGCCAAATTTGATAATGCTGAGAGCCAAGCGCCATCTATCGTGTGGTAAACGAAGCAACCACTGCGCGTGCGCAGTAGGGCAGGGCCGAGTTCAGAACGGTGATTTCCTTTGGTTTCCTTCCTCTCAGAACTCTGACTGACTGAACGTTTATTTTTCTACGTCTTCATCTCGCGCGTGCCGACTTCAAGCAGCAAGAAAAAAATGTACTTAAAACAGACCACGACGAACAAGAACGCTGGATCCACAAACACCCGAGAAGAGCGACAACAGCCGCGAATCCCGCTCCTACGAAGCTCTCAGGATATATAGGCCTAGCAGGCACTCCGACTCGGCGCAGCGTTGCTTCGTCGCAAGACCGTCTGTCTGCCTACGACCGGCTGGCGTGCTGAATGGAATATGCCCGCGCTACCCTTGTGGACCCTTCCCGTATTATAGTTTGATCGCTGACCTCAATTTTAGGTTAAGAGGTGAGGTCAATCTCTTCCCCTTGTTTTCCGAGGCAGGGTTGACGAACACTCGTCGAAAAGGGACCCTCGTCAATTCTCTCTTCTTGTTTTGTGTGATATAGAGCTGAAATAAACGCTGTATGGATTACCTTCGTAACACGGTATGTACACTTTGTTATTGGTATGCCATTTTTATTCTGACAGACTGCACGTCACTGTCGAGCTGTAACAGTTCGTGGGAGGTATACGCGCAATACCGGTCCAACCTTTCTTTGCCGAGTGTCGCGTCAGTATGACGCGACACTCGGCTCGCTCCTGCATCTCCGAGACCGCGAAAAACGCCGCGGCAATTTGTTTCCATCTACGTCGCTTTGCAAACGACTGACACTGGCCGCCTTTTACCAACAATGACAGTTTGGTTAACTTCTGGAGTCTTCACCGGAAGACTCGCTGCACTTCCCAACAGGCATAACGGCGTATGGGACTAGTCCCATGCTGTCGCTGTAGCGCAACGTATCTCATTGAATTTCGCTCAGCTGCGATGCGGCGATGAGAGGCGCCGATTCAGAAAATACGTCGGTGACATCGGCGCAGTAGAACCTACCGGCACACCCCAACTCGTCGCCGCTAACGCTCCCATCTCCAACTGCCGAGAGAACTTCCGGTTCCGGAAGCAGCGTACGTCACGGCTTGTTTTGCGGTCAAGAAAAAGTCGATATTTCATTAATTTTTTGTGTAGAAGTTAATAAACCGAGACGAAAACGGATGCCTGTTCGGCATTCAGTGAACATTGACGGTTTAATGTAAAAGTTATCTGGAAAAAGTAAAAAAGTCATTTCATGGTCCCTTTAACTGCTGTACCTTCCTAAAAGCAGGGGGACAAAGGAGAGGCCTGGTCGCTCTGACGAAACAACAGATATTCTGTCGGCCGGTCACAAATTCCCCTCGGCTCCCCACGAGCTGGGGGGATTTGAGAACATTCGTGCTGCGGAGCACGTGAGTTTAGAGCTCGATGACGTTTAATCCTGTGCTCAGGGAGAAACCTAGTCGTGCGAATACTTTATTAAGAACTTGCAAAAGGATATTGGTCTGAACTCGAAGTTTCGATTGATCCTGCTTTGACTGCTCAAAACTGACATCGTTTTAGCGGTATAAATTAACTGAAATGAAATGTTTCTAATGGCTGTTTCACAAACTCGTGACTGCTTATGACCGGAGGGTGCAAAAACAGATTTTAATCTCTTGCGACTGCTTAGAATTGGTAATATCGCTGCACAGTTAGTAAGAAGTTGAAGAAGGCTTAAAATCCGGTTTTTACCCTCACTCTGGAAAAGAGAGGATGTAGTTGTGCACGCCCTGGTGAGCGAGATTGTTTCTAACTGCTCACAGGACACTGCTGCATCTCGCCGCGCGAGACCGCGCCAACCAGGCACGTAGCCAGGATTTTGTTTCGGGCAAGGGGGGGGGGGGGGGGGGGGGGTTGGGGCCGCCTATGACAAAATGCTGTATGAGGGGGAGGGGGGACAGGAGGTCCCAGCAAAATGGAAGATTTCGGGGGGGGGGAGCCAAGCCCCATGGGCCCCTTCACTTGCTACATGCCTGGCGCCGACCACGGGCGAACCCCAAGGCTGAGAGTTTGCGGCATAAGCATGGAGAGGTAGGTGCTGCTCAATCTGTGGTACCAGTGCTTGCAGAGTTCCTGTATAGGCTCCCTATGGGAGACAGAGTTGCGTGTTTATCCCCGTAGCGCCGTCTTTCCTGCACGGCACGTGATCCTGCTCCTCATCTGACTGAATTCAGATGAGGATCTGACTGAAGCAGGGGAACGTACGCCGGGGCGCACGCAACGTCTACTTTCCTGCACGGCATTTGAGTCTGCTCCTCACGTGATCGGATCTCGGCGAATAGCGGCGCGGCGGCACGTGGAAAACAGATGCGCAACTCTGGCTTCCGTAGGGAGCTTATAGACCATTCCATTTAGTTCTCTCAGGGCGGTGCCATTTTGTTAGACCACAGCACCCACTCCACACATCCGGGAAGTTCAGCAGGGTCGGCGAGGTAAAACGAGAGAGGGCACGCGCCCGACTCTGCTAGCAGACGACAAACAGGGAGGTTGCCGTTCTCCATCTCTGGGCTGTACCGACGGGCTGTACCAAACATCGAACTCTTGCTCGTGGCTGCCGTTATGAAGTGGTTCGCATTCTTAGAATATTTATGGCTACTCCAAAATCAGCCTTTAGCGCTCTGTTGTTTTATCTCAGTAAATGATCAACTAGCGTATCTTTGCCCTATTACTTCAATAGCAGTGGAGTCAGCTGGCAACTCAATCACTGCGTCTATTGTGCCAGGAGAGCATGTTTTTATTTATTATTCCAGACTTCCACTCATTGTCGCTAAAGGCCCACACCAGTACCAACTTCGTATAGTAAAATAGCTACAGCGACCGAATTTAACATTAAAAACGAGCGTGTTGGTAATTATACTTAAACAATCGGAAAGAATAAACAAAATTTGGGACGAAAGCAGACGCTTACATCTCTTTCAACTCTCACCAACATTTATTTCGTCTCCGTTCAAACGACGGCCATCGAGCAGGTTCAGGGGAGGGAGTAGAGAAGGAAAAAGGAGGGGGGGTTGAAAGAGGAGGAGGGGGAAAAACGGGTTATTCGCGGCCTTCCCTCAAGGCCTCTGGTCCCTTCCGCCCAGTTCGGGACGGAGGAATTTCATCTGCCTGTCGGAAAGGGCTAGATAGAGAAGCCGAAGCGACGTCAGTGACCAAGCTCTTAATGGCGTACGATTCGGCGACTTCCCTGCCAAATCTCTGCTAGTGTCCTCCAAATACGCTCATACCTTCGCAACTGGGCGAACAACCGTCGCACGTCATACGGTGTACGACTATTGGATGCATGGAGTCGTCGGGGGTTTGCTCAGTGATAGGCGAGTCCCTTAAGGCCATGTGCGGTGTTGTGCAAGTAGGGGATAACTGTAAAACGCTTTTTGCGAGGAACAGGAGCGGCTGGCGGTGCCCAGGAGGCGGT